GGTCATTAAACATGAAAAGTGCCATTCTACATTTAGATTCATCAGAAAAACAAAAATTTGAAATTATCAGTAAAAGTGGTGTTAGATGGCATTTGAAAAGTAATTATCCAATTGAAACAAATCGTTGGGTTTGGAGTTTACAAGGAGCAATAAGATATGCTAAGGATAAGGAAAGAGCTATTCGTTATTCCCAAGAAACTGAAAGAAAAGATAGCTTCGATAGTGTTGGAGGAGCTGGAGTTAACCGTCATACAAGAAACTTAAGCTCTGGATCAGTTGAAGAAAATTCTAATAAATTGGAATCTAGTGCAAACAGTTTAGCTGACATCAAAGAAAATGAGCGCTTGAAACAGACTGAAGCTCGCCGTCCATCCCAAATTGTTTATGATACCGATGATGAAGATGATAACGAATCGAGGGAAGTCAGTATTGTTCAAGAAAATGAAGATATTGATATTGAATCTGGTCCTTATATTCAAGAGATTTCAGTTTTGAAAAGAGGATTCAGTCTTGAATTGGGCTCATTGAGAGAGTTGTTGTTTAGCGTCAAAGAAACAATGAACACGCCTTCAGAACCATTGAACATTTCACTTGGTGCTATTGAAACTTTAACCGAAAGCTTTGATAGATTAAACACATTGGTTTCCAAAAGAGATGAAAAATTGATTAGAGATCTACAAAAACAAAAAGATATCAATGAATTATGGATCAACTCGATTAGAGATCTAGAAAATGAATTACTGGCTAAAAACAGCGAATTACAAAACTTTGAGGCTGAAAGAAGAAACTTGAAAAAAGTTTTAACAAAAAAATTTGGTAATATCGGCTCACCACTTGCAGATGTTCCTGCAACACCTGAAGCTCAACCAACAGGTCCATCTCCATTAGGTGCTGCTGAATCTACCACTGTTCAAGATGAGCCTTTTGATGCTAACGATGTTGAGATTTCAAGATTCATTAATGAAGATGAGGATTCAGATGATGAATTTTTTGATGCTGCAGATTTCGAAGAAGATGATGAAGTATCTGAAAGGGCAACTCAAGAATCAATTGTTGGAGGTGTTGCTGGCTCTACAGCTGCAACTACACCAGCACCAAGTGTTCAAGAACCTGAAACTACAGAAAAGCCTGTTGGAACTGAGCCAAAACAAGAAGAAGAGGAACAACAAGTGGAGGGTGAATATTCCAATGAACTACAGCAAAAGAAAGATTTATTGATGAAAAATGAAGGCACATTTAAGGGTTACGATTTCACACCAAGAAGTGAATTGGCTTTAAAAGTTGACGACAGACCAAAAATAGGATTGTGGGGTATTTTGAAATCCATGATAGGTAAGGATATGACTAAAATTGCTCTTCCAGTTACATTTAATGAGCCAACTTCATTATTGCAAAGAGTTGCTGAAGATTTGGAATATGTGAATTTGTTAGATCAAGCTGCCTCATTTGAAGATTCAACTTTAAGATTATTATATGTCGCAGCATTTGCAGCTTCTGAGTATGGATCAACAACTAATCGTGTTGCTAAACCTTTCAACCCATTATTAGGTGAAACTTATGAATACGCAAGACCAGATTTAGGATTTAGATTCTTTACAGAACAAGTTAGTCATCATCCACCAGTTTCAGCAGCTATAGCTGAAGCTTCTAAATGGGATTATTATGGTGAAACTTCAGTCAAATCAGGTTTTAATGGTCGTTCATTTGATGTTCAACCTCTTGGTATTTGGTATTTACATCTAAGACCTGATCAATCATCACATAAAGAAGAATTGTATACATGGAAGAAGATTACTAGTTCAGTTATTGGTATTATTGTTGGTAATCCATCAGTTGATAATTACGGTGAAATGATCATTACTAATAATCAAACTGGTGATAAAGCAGTGTTGAACTTTAAACCAAGAGGTTGGAGAGGTGCTTCTGCTTATGAAATGAGTGGTGTTATTTATAATAGAAAAGGTGAAAAGGTTTGGTCAATTGGTGGACATTGGAACAATAGAATCTTTGGTAAAAAAGTGATTAAAAATGATTCAAGTATTGATTATTCCAATAAAAAGATTAGTTCAACACCAACTGAAGATGGTACTAAATTCTTGATATGGCAAATGGCTCCAAGACCAAAAGTTCCATTCAATTTGACCAGCTATGCAATTACTTTGAACGAACCAAATCCTAAATTATTGGAGTATGTCAGTCCATCTGATACTAGATTAAGACCAGATCAAAGAGCCATGGAGGACGGTAAATATGATGAGGCTGGAGTGTTGAAGAATAGAGTCGAAGAGAAACAAAGAGCTGCTAGAAAGAAAAGAGAACAACAAGGCGAGAAATACCATCCTACTTATTTCACTAGAGAGACACATAAAGCCACTGGTGAAGAGTACTGGAAGTTTAACGGTGAATATTGGAAGCAGAGAAAAGATGGTAAATTACCAAACATCGATATTTTTTGAACGGTTTTCATGAATCTCAACAATGACTCTCACTTTAGAATTTGATTATGTGTTTGTTTTTATGTATTTGAATTTTGATATAATTGTACACACATTTTATGTTCCTTGTAGCTTCTTGATGTTTGGCGCGAATCTCGGTGTTCACCAAGTTGCACACAAGTTGCTTAAGCTACTCTACCAAAATGGCCAAAACTAGTGGCCTGAGCCAATCACGGGCCTTTTTTAAGTGCGTGAAGGATTGACTGGCAAACTGATCGTCGTTGAGAGTACAAAGCCTCCATCGTTGCTCGAAACCTTTCCAACACAGCCAAAAATCCAAAGGGTCCTTGCCTGGCGAGCAAAGTGGGCGCTTTCAGCCTGGCTTCCAGGCAGAGGTTCCCACCAAAGTCCTCCGGCGACTCTGTGCGTGCTGTTACCGGTTTTGGGGGTACCAAGAGAAAAAAAATCCTAAAAAATTATTTTCAACACTTTTTTAGGAGATTTATAAATAAAAACAAAAATCATCAACAACAACAACGAAAAAAGGTTTGGCAGACGACAACGACGAAGTTGACAACTTCAACAACAGACTCCAAAACCGTGAACACACTAGCTCAACACTGAACATGAAGAGGATCTTTTCCGGAAACCGCTCCGGAGCAGCCTCCCCTAATATGGCTGACACAAGGTCAAGATCAAACTCTACTCCTCCACAACCTTCCGAAGAAATACCCCCAGAACTGGCTCCAATCGTCACCTTGTTAGGTGCTCAGGCCCACCGTCGTTACAATGAAGGTGTCTTTATGCTCTTACAGAGTATCAACTCTGATGGTGAACCAGTGCCAAATCGTCAATGGAGAGAAGTATACGGTGTCTTGTTGGGGACTCAATTGGCTGTTTGGGACGTTGATGAATTAGAAAAGCATCAAAACAACACAGAAGCATTGATGAATGCTAGTTCTAAGCCGGACTATATCAACTTTACAGACTCCTCATTCAGAGCAGTTGATAAATTGGAAAACTCTCAAGGTTTGAAAAACATTATTATCGTCTCTACAACTTTGAAAAATCAATATCTTTTACAATATCAAGAACTTGAAGATTTCCATCGTTGGAACGCCGCTTTCAGATTATCCACGTTTGAATATACTTCATTGCAAGAAGCTTATACTGGTGCCTTATTATCTGCCAAAGGTTCAAAACTTTCAGATATTAGAACCATTTTATCAGAATCGAAATTTGATTATGAAGATTGGGTTAGTGTTAGATTCGGTTCTGGTATGCCTTGGAAAAGATGTTTTGCAGTTATTGAACAACCAAACAAGAAATCGAAAAAGGGGAAAGTTTATAAAGGTTCAGTGTCATTTTATAAAGATGAGAAAAAGCAAAAAAAAACAGCTATGGCTATTATTAAGGATGCAAGTGCTACTTATGCTTTATATCCACAATCCCATAAGTTGATTGACCATAGTACAATGATCAAGTTGGAAGGTACAGTGTTTTTCGATGGTAATAAGAAATCATTGCC